TTTTAAATTATTAATAAAGATATAAGCAAGACCTCACCTTAATACCAAAAAAAAAAAAAAATCTTGTTGCATATTTTGAAAAAGTTGCAATTTCAATTATTTTCTGTTATATAAATTAGTAATAATTCTTAATTTATAGAATTATCTTTTTATATTATTTATATTTAATTATAAGTATAGACTTGTAATTTATTTAGTAATATTATAGATAAAAGCTTTTTTAATTTTTATACTATAATGATAACATAATATAGAAAATTTCTTATAGATATATGCAATGTTTAAGAGAAAAGTATAACTTTTGTTAGTTATTATCAAGAAACTATACTCTTTTCTGAAACAGTTTGAAAAAGGTAATACAATATTAATAATTTTATTTTATTAAGAAAAAGATAAATCTTGTTTGTAAAAATTATTTTAGAAGAGAAGTATCAATACAGTTTATAATAAAATTATTTATTAAAGTAATTACAAAAAAAATTATTCTTAAGTTTTTGTTTCTAAAGAATTTTAAAATGTATTTACAATATTAAATAGAAAAGATGTTTTTTTTTTAGTATTAAAGTAGTTTGTTTATATCTTTATTAGTACTTTTAAAATTAGTAACTATATAAAGTTACTATATACAAAAATAATTTTATATAAATGCTATAATTAAGATCAACACTTGTAATCAAGACTAATTATTAAACTATTAACTATATAACTAATTTAAGTACAAATAAAAGAAAAAACTACATTCAAGAATAAAGCTTAAACATATTTATTTGTAATTGAAACTTACTAGAATGGTCAAATCTTATTTAAATTTGAATAGTTAAAATATAATTAAAAAAGATATTATATTTAATTCAAAGAATAGTTTATATATTAATTTTTCTAATAACATAACTAATAGGTAAAGGAGAACCCAAATAATACATATAGAGGTTATATTAAAATTTTGGCTAAAAATATTATATTTGAAAACTGGTTATTAGTTTAAAGATTATATTTAAAACTAAATAATAGTTATTAATATCATATTATTAAAAGTAAATAAAAGAATAAAGTTGTGTAAAATTACATTTAGAAATTAGTTAAATTAGATAGTAAAACAGTATCTTTGCATAGTTTGTGTTTGTAAAATTTCAAAAATGATTAAGTATACAAGGAAATATTTATTAAAAAATTCAATGATAGTTCATATATCTAATAGTAGTTTGCTAGTTACTTGTAGATGTGAAAAAGTTATTAGACTTAAATGAGCTTATAATAAAACATATTTTAAAAGTCATGTTAACAGTAATGGCTGCAAGCTTCAAGATGGCATTATTTTAATTTTAAACTTTTTTTTACCAGTTTTAAAGAATAATAAGTCTGTTATAAAATGATTTACTTGTACTGGATTAGATAGCAGTTTATAAAGCTTATATTAATTGAGTATTTACTCATATTACTCATGATGGAGCATCAAGAAGAGAAGTTATTGCTCAGCAACTTTTTCCAAAAAAATTTCCTCTAAACAAGGCTGTAATATATAAAAATCTTTCTGAAAATGAATTGCAATTATTGGATAATGAAATAATTCAACAATTTAAGTGAAAAATTGAAGGTTTAGTAGTACAATCTGTTTTATATAAGCAATATACTACTAGTTCTTCTTGCTTGTGTAATTATTGTAAAGAAATCCAAAACAATCAAGTTTTTAAAATATATATATAATTTTTAATGATTAGTAAGCTTTAATAAAAATTTATTTATAGCATTATAACAATATAAAATACTGTATCAAAACAAGACAAGCCAAATTTCAAAAAAAATTTATGCTGAAGATTTAGTTTCAAAGCAATCCAATTGCTAAATATATTTATAACTAAGATGTTAGTGATTTTTTATATTTAGCAAACATACCAATACAAACAATAACAATTCTTTTTGAACAAAGTTTGCAGAAATAGGCAAAAATAGTAGTTTTAATAATAAT